AAAACCCCCTCTCGGCAGAACACACCTACGCAATTAATTGCTCTCCCAACCCTATTGTGGACGCCGACCGTAACAATCCAACATCAACACACCATTCCAACTGAGAGGTGTACACCATTAGTATTAGTGTTCACTCATAGGTGTAGACAATAAAAAATGCAAAAACTCCAACTGAGAGATGTATTGATCACTTATCATTAATGAACAACAGATCTCATTATTAAAGATTGTGGAATCAACTGAGAAATGTTAAAGAAAAGAATCTTGTGTGACAAATACAATCAGTTCAGTATTTTTAATCATGTTAATATTGCTAGACAACCAATTATTTTCCATTCCAGGAGATTGTTTAACAGCCCACTGTGCAATCTAGATATCATATCAAAGTCAGGATTCTTGAGAATGGTGATCAAGTCTCTTTGGTAAGTGTGCAGTCTCATCCGGTTTAAAAATCATCTCTGGGTGTGAAGCCATAATTTGATAGCAGTAGGATAGTAGGTTCCTTGCGTAACTCGTGGATAGAACGTATTTATGAACTTTAAAAATATTTTGCTGAATCCACTCCGTCTGTGTATCAATCAAGTATTCCTCAATTACAACGAAAAGTTCATACAGCTCAAACAAGTTAGCTCCATGCAAAAGACTAAGCCAGTTGATATCCTTGCATAAATCATAGGACATTCGCCCAGTATAGATGAATCTGTGTATCCGTTATGTTGATAGTAAGTCATGACAGTATATTTGAAGCATGCACGTAATGCACTTTTTGCACATATGAATTTACCTAAGCAAGACTTCGAAAACGTTAGGAGTCACATCCTCGAACGTTACGGCTGTCCTTTGAATGTTTACGGATGCTTCTGTTAAACTTTTCTCAAGAAATACGCTTCTTGCGCATAATACCGAAGCGTGAGCGAAAAATAATTTGCTATTTGGTTCCTTTCCAACATGAATTGAAACATCCGTATATTTCTTACTTTCGTAAAGTTTCTCAAAGTTAGACGACAGACCTGCAGATAAATCAACAAGGTTATTCATTTCGTCAAAGTTTGAAGAATGTGTAGTTAAGTAGTGAAGTACCACTGTTATCAAGGCAAACGGCATGGGTATTTGATTTTCAATTGACCGGCTGTAATTATTTAGCCCTATACTTTTTAGTCGAATAGCCTGCCTGACGACCTATAATAATAAGACTAAACCATGTTTGCTGATTGTACTTTCTTATGGTTTAAGAGATTACGTCATTTTCCGCGGCTTATTTGTAAAAGGCTAAGACTATAACAAATAAGTCACACGCGTGTGATTTTAATGATGGTATCAAAGAGTTTTCAATTGTAAACATTTTCATTACGTAAGGCAGAGAACCAATTAATACGAAATATAGTTTTTTTCCGGTTCTGTAGTTTATTCTTTGTATTATATAACCCCTCTCGTAAATATGTATTTTTGATTACTGCTAACTCACAATGCAATGAATCATGATACAAAGGCAACTCTTATACTGAGCTATTAATATTAAAAATTCGGTGATTTATTAACTGGTTTGCGCAACCTATCTTCTGTATAACCTGTAGCTTGATCCGGAATCGCTGATCACGTGATTATGCCAAACAATTTCGAAGTTTTTTTTTTTCATTTTATTATGATGCGACGCGTGAAATCACTTTCTCAATCATGTCCACACCTACGGTGCGAAAGTTAAACATAAAATTGTCAATTATTTTATTGTAGGCCAAACACTGAACTTTTTATCTTTCCTTTGTTCCTGTTCAAAGCAGGCACATAAATATTTCGATCAAGCACACTCTGAGTGGGATATTATAGACTTTCTAAACGATTCTAGTGAGAGCGAATTTGAAGATCTAAATCTCGGTCAGAAGATAGGAATTTATCTAAAGTCTCTTGAGGTCATCATGGATGCTGATAGTGGACAAAGGGGTAAACGAGCAAGGGAATTGCATGATAGATATAAGCAGGCAAGTCTTACTTTTGTTATTTTGGTTAAAAAGATATAGTAATAGAGAATTTGGTGGCATGGTGGAGGATCTATAGGGTCCTGTATCATGTTCAGCATCATCGCCACTCAATTATCGGGTGCTAAATTAGACCTTAATATTGAATATTATTCTATCGTATTGCCTCTCAAAATAGTGGTCACAAGCAGCAATCAATACATAATGATAGTCTCATATTTGCGAGTACTGAAAGTAAAAAAATAAAGTGCCTGGATTTAACTTACGTAAATTACATAACTACGTTTCCACCACGAGATAACACTATCTGCGTTCACAATTACGTATAATTATATGTCAAATCGTTAATGTTTGACAAGATTACTTTACTTATTTGAACCTTAAACTATTTTTGCTGAAAATACTACCAATTAGCTTCAAGTACGTATGCATACTTTGCTACCTAGTATGGATTAGAAAGTATTACGTTTATAATCCGAGACGTGTTACTTTATATCACGAAGACATATGCATCAGTACTTGTCAATTAAAGAAATAATTTGGCTCATTACAATAAAAAAAAACTAAAATAAAGAATACAATATTTATTGTTCGTTTCGGCTTCGATGACGTTAACAATCGGATCAATGAAATTCTATTTTGTTTATTCTTCATTATTAATCAGTGTAGTTCGATAAATCTTATCGCACAAATCAACACTGTAGAGTTTTTATTGATTAACGTATCGATAAATAAAGTTTGCTATTTTTACTTTCTCTTTCGAGACCTGATGCATTATCGTAATGTATGGTATTCCACTCGTCGTTTCTCCAATAAGTTTGCGAATCTCTTTTCGAAGTAATTCTGCATCCGGCCTGTTTATCAAGAGCAGCATCCCAACAGCACTCGGCAAGTTTTTTGTATTCCTCTAGTGCTGAATCGAGCATCGTTGGTCGTAGTCCACCAACAATATCGCGTACTAAACTTGCGTCAAACTGCCTATCTTTGAATGGTAGTTTACCGGCGGCTATCAGATGCATAATAAGGCCAAAGAAATATATGTCTGATCTTTCAATAAATTTGCGAGTGTAGAGGGCTTCCAGTGCGGTGCAATATAGGGCAAAGCACCTCGAACGGCTGGATTTGACTCTAATTTCATTGATTGTGAGAGACCGAGACCGCATATTAATGCTCGAGCATTGTTGTCTGTTTCGTGCAAAACTATGTTTCTGCCATGTAGATTACAATAGAATAATTCTACAGCATGAATTTTGTATAAATGAAGTGAAATATTATTCAAGTACTGCAATTCTATCTTGATATAATTATTTCCGAGGATAAAGATGATCTTCTTACACAATCGCCTCATGATACTACCTTAATTTGTTAATATTTTTATCCAAAAAGACGAAAAACTGCCCTTGTTAGCATATTGCATAATAATTATGCATGCATTTTTTTGTTTCTGGGATTTGTGCGACTCCAAGTCGTAAAAACTGGTCGTCACCACGATAATAGCGACCGAAACACCTGGCATTAATCAAAAAGCTTACCTCGGATATACAGTAAATAATTCCGGCGTCTGATCAAAATTCTTAAACCGTTTGAGAGCGACAATTTCCGACATCTGCTCTTTTACATAGTTTTTATATTTGGCAATATAAACTATTCCATAACGCCAAGTCCGATCTCTTTGAAATCAGAAAAGTCGTCATACTGCATATGTCTTACGGCTTGGTTAAGTTGCTTGAGTAGATGGTTCTTGCGTGATTCCAATTATCCAAACATTATCTGGTGTTAATATCTCTCGAACTAGCTGTTGGATTAAATAATACGATAATTAAAATCAATACAATATACAGTATATATGTCGTATGTAAATCCCGTCGCCATGTAAATCCCGGATTTACATATGTAAATGCGGTTTTGGGGTCCTTGACGGAATTTACGTACGACATTCATCTATTTATTTTGGGGTCCTTGACGGGATTTACATGGTGACGGGATTTACATACAACATATACATACTTATACTTAATGTAACTAATTTTGCAAATCATTTATGAGGACCATACACGATTCACTTTGTCATAACTCACCCCTGCATATTTTTTTATTAATGTTTGTAACACAGTCAATACACTCAACATGTATACCAGTCATGCAGAACTTAACAACAACGGCAACGAACGCAACGATGACTTCAGACGCCGCGGACAGAGAATGGTTAGAAAGGAGTATCGAAAACGAATACATTCGATTCTATCCTTATGATAATTTGATCGACAGCCGCTGCATAGGCGCTGGTGGATTTGGTGAAGTGTCTAAAGCCACAATATCAACATCGGGCGTTATCGTGGCATGCAAGCTGCTCAAATATTCGAATGAAGGCATGTTCTTTAAGGAATTTGTGAAAGAGGTTGGTAATCACGCATAACAAAACTGTTGCTGGGTCTATGAAACTATGGTTCTTATATGTCGTTCGTTTCGTGATGACCCATATTCTAGCTCAAGATCCATCGTAAAGTAGATGACCATCCAAATATAATTCGATTCCTTGGTATTAGCAAAGGTAACGATGCAAAGATTCTGCGTACTAAAAAGGAGCATAAATATAATACTTTTTCGACTTTCAATAGACACCAAAGGAAGATACTTGATGGTCTTCGATTATGCTGACAATGGTTCATTACGGGACTATTTATCGACGTCAGCCGACGAACTAGATTGGCCTGCCAACTGTCAACTGGGTTTGGATATTGTTAACGGGTTGAGATATATACACAATGAGGATATCGTACATAAAGACTTAGTAAGTATATTACTGATTAATCTTTTGATTCTTATTTAAAGTGAATCGTAATTGACATATTGGTTTCTTATGTTATTACAAGTCTTCGAACAATGTACTAATTCAAGGGAAAACGGCTAAGATCACAGATTTTGGGATATCTGAAAGAGTATTACTACAGAAGGCTGGCTCAAATCACCTAGGTGCTATACCATACATTGACCCTAGATGTCTTACAGACGAAATTAGTAAACGAGATAAAAAGTCTGATATTTTTAGCTTTGGGATTATTCTATGGGAAATATCCAGCAGAACGTATCCATGCAGCGAATTCGAATTCGACAGTATATCAGACATTAAGCTCTATAGAATTAATGGTGGTCGTCATGATGTAGTTTCAGGCACACCAAAGGAGTATGAAAATTTATATATCGAATGCTGGGATGCCGAGTCAGAAAAACGGCCAACAAGCGAACAATGCTACCGTAGATTAAAAACTATAATGGAAAAACTGAACCAGTTATCAGAATGTAACTCGAAACGGAATAACAAAATTGATAAGACAGTATCACAGGAAGTGACAGTAACTGAAGATCAGAAAGTATTATCACAAGAAGTAATGGCAACTGAAGATCACTCTCTTTCTGATGAGTTGTCCACAGTATACAACAACTTACTACTTAAAGGGAAATCTATGGAACAAATAGCTGATTACATCAAAATTTGGCTGGTACAAAACAATTATAAACAAGAAAATTCATTTGCTGCTTACATCAGAAATTGGCTGATACTGACACCAAACAATAGTAATAAACAAAGTCCATTGGCTATTTTGAAGACTCATCCCAATTGTGGACAATGCTTTTGGCTGATTGGATTCTTTTATGCACATGGAATAGAAACAGCAAAAGATCTTGAACAAGCTGCTCAATGGTATCAACAATCAGCAAAGACAGGCAATATTGCAGCACAATATAATCTTGGTAATTGCTATGCAGATGGAGATGGAGTGGACCAGATTATTCAAAAAGCAGTGGAGCTGTATCAGAAAGCAGCTGACCAAGGATATTCTTCTGCCCAAAATAGTCTTGGTCATTGTTATGAGGATGGGACAGGAGTGGAAAAGAACATCAAAAAGGCAGCTGAACTGTATCAAAAAGCAGCAGATCAAGGCTTTGCCACAGCACAATATAATCTTGGTTATTGCTATGAGCATGGAAAAGGAGTGGACCAGAGTATTCAAAAAGCAGTTGAGCTGTATCAGAAAGCAGCTGGCCAAGGATATGCTAAAGCCCAAAATATGCTTGGTTATTGTTATGACAATGGGACAGGAATGAAAAAGAATATCAAAAAGGCAGTTGAACTGTATCAAAAAGCAGCAGATCAAGGCTTTGCCACAGCACAATATAATCTTGGTTATTGCTATGAGCATGGAAAAGGAGTGGATCAGAGTGTTCAAAAAGCAGTTGAACTGTATCAGAAAGCAGCTGATCAAGAAGATGCTGAAGCACAATGTAGGCTTGCTCTTTGTTATACCTGCGGAACAGGAGTGAGGGAGAATATTTACAAAGCAGTTGAGCTGTATCAAAAAGCAGCTGACCAAGGATATGCTGAAGCCCAAAATATGCTTGGTAGTTGTTATTGGAATGGGACAAGAGTGGAAAAGAATATTTACAAAGCAGTTGAGCTGTGTCAAAAAGCAGCAGACCAAGGACATGCTGAAGCACAATATATGCTTGGTTATTGCTATGAGCATGGAGAAGGAGTGGTCCAGAGTATTCAAAAAGCAGTTGAACTGTATCAGAAAGCAGCTGATCAAGGATATGCTGCTGCCCAAAATAGGCTTGCTGTTTGTTATACCAATGGAACATTAGTTGAAAAGAATATTTATAAAGCAGTTGAGCTGTATCAAAAAGCAGCTGAACAAGGAGATGCTCAAGCACAATATTATCTTGGTTATTGTTATGAGTATGAGGAAGAAGTGAAGAATATTCAACAAGCAGTTTGGCTGTACCAGAAAGCAGCTGAACAAGGTTATGCTGCAGCTCAATATAATCTTGGTTGTTGCTATGAAAATGGAAAAGGAGTGAAAATGAATATGTATACAGCAATTCAGCTGTATCAAGAAGCAGCTGAACAAGGATATGCTGCAGCTCAATATAATCTTGGTTGTTGCTATGAAAATGGGAAAGGGGTTGAAAGGAATATTTATAAAGCAGTTGAGCTGTATCAGAAAGCAGCTGAACAAGGACTTGCTTCAGCCCAATATAGTCTTGGTTATTGTTATGAGAATGAGATAACAGTGGAAATTGATTTTGAAAGAGCAGCTCAACTGTATCAGAAAGCTGCTGAACAAGGTCATG